TAGTATCTCTTTCACAAGAACCATACATTAAGAAAATTCTTGAACGATTTCATATGCAAGATTGTAAACCCATAGACAACCTTATCGCGAAAAGTGAGACTTTGAGTCGTAAAGTGTGTCTGAAGACTCCACAAGAAAAGGAACAAATAAAGAATGTTCCTTATACAAATGCTGTTGGAAGTCTCATGTACGCCATGATGTGCACTAGAGCCGACATCTGTTATGTTGTTGGGTTGGTGAGCAGATATCAGTCTGACCTAGGACAAGCACATTGGAAAACAGTGAAGATAATCTTAAGATATCTAAAAAGAATAGCTGATTACTCATTATGTTATCAAGGAAATGATTTACACTTGAGAGGCTACACCGATGCTGATTGGGGAGGAGATTTAGATGAAAGAAAATCTACTTCCTGATATGTTTTCTTACTAAATGGTGGGGCCATATCTTGGAGCAGTAAGAAACAACCATGTATAGCCTTATCTACAATGGAGGCTGAGTTTGTAGCATTTTCAGTTGCAGTGCAAGAAGCTGTTTGGTTGAGACAGTTCATGAATCATCTGGGAATAAATAATGTTGCTATTGAACCAGTGAGAGTAAACTGTGTTAGTCAAGCAGCAATAGCATACACTAAGGATCCCAAATATCATGGTAAAACGAAACACATAGATATCAAATATAATTTTGTACTTGGTGGCACAAAAGGAGGCGAACATGAAGTACATATCTACGCATGACATGGTTGCGGATCCATTTACAAAGCCTATACCAAGAGATACTTTCAATAGACATGTTAGATCTTTAGGCTTACGTAGGTGTTGAATGTAATACTTTGAGATTTCCCAAAATTGTTCACTTTTGTCTTATCAATATTAAATAACAATATTGTCAATGCTCAATTTTGATTATTATGAAACATACATGAAAGAGTATATATATATATATGTTTATTTTGAAAAGCATGTCGGACAGTTAAAAGATTGGCCTTCTCACACAGGCAATCGCCTCCATTACTTCGTAAGAATGGAGATGAGACGATTTTAAGCTTATTATCTAGGTGATAATAGAGAGCCAAGCTTAAAATATTTAACATCGCCTAAAAATAGAATTAAAATAATGTCATAATGAAATATGACCATAAGTGATAAATGATCACTTTATCTATCTAATTACCGATTAGAGTTCTGATGAATTAAAAGTATGTAAAGTGAACTCAAGTTAGACATTAGGTATGTCTGAACTAAAATCTGTACGACATTTACAAGAAAAGAGACATGCATTCCATGGGAAAGGAGGAAATGTTGTAGCATGTGATTCATACCACATGTGCAGAATATTGACCAAAGGGATCAAAATCTCAACTTTAACATTGTGTGAGACCCTGAGATTTTAGGAATAAAATCTCATAGAATAACCTTATTATTCTATTCTGTTTCTTGAAAATCTCATTTAAAGATTGCTATCCTAGAGTGTTACCAAAAGATTAAGATAATTCAATCTGCTGGGACATTTCTGGAAAAGCAAGTTAAATGAAAGTTACAAGAATCGAGAAAAGAGGAAGATTACAATTTTGGATTATCACACTATAATCATGTGTATTCATTGGTCGACCAATTATATTTTATTTTATGTAAAGACAAAACATAATTATGAATACAACTGATGTTTATTATAAATGAGATTGTTAAAAAAAAAAAAAAAGATGTGATAAGTAATCTAGGGTATTGAATACAACATACAACCCAAGTTTCACAATTTGAGAAGTTATATATTCCTAACAGATATATGACTAATGTGCTCTCGAAGTATGCATGGTCACACGACATATTTACTAAAGTATGAACCTTGAAGAAGCACAGAGAGAAATAGTCCCATCATGTGTGAGTGGGAGATATTGGATATGGGTGGGACACCCATGATGGGACCCACCCAAACGACGTTTCAAGTAGAAACTGTCAAAGGCAGTTTTCGCCTAAAACTGCTTGGCAACTGCCGCCCATATATAAGTGAAGAAATTCCTTTTAGAGGGTATTATTCACTCTCTCTAAAAATTGTATTGAAAGGGAAGACACACATACGGTGGTTATCTCTCTCAAGATACAATTTTGCTTCAGAGTTAAGGAGTAAAGGTATTTATGCTGTGAACTTCATTGTAATTCGTTTAAGTAAAATGTGATTGCGATGGTGACTATTAATATGATCTTGGGATAGTTAGAATATTTGTTATTATGAGTTTTTAGTTTTTTCCAACAGTTTATTTTATCAATAACCCCCACTTCTTATTTAGATGAGGGTAAAATTATAAATATATTGTTTATAATATTTGACATCATTTATTTAGTTATCATCTAACTAATATGCAATCAAGTTATCATTTACTTGCAATTGGTATCAAACAAACAATAATCAATCAATTCCTTGACCGTTTCACTCAAATATGATTTTTTGAAGTTTGTTCCTTGTGTTTTTAACTATTTTTGTTGTTTACTGTTATGCAACAACCAAGAAACAAATCATAACCCAAACAATCTGAATCAAGAAAGCACACACACAAACAACAACAATTTTACCGTGGTTCACTTACTCTATTTTTGAGCAAGCTACATCCACGTTGAACTCCGAAAAATGGGAGTTTGTTGCACTACGATTAATAGATTCAATCACTTACAATCCTAGATTCGAATACGCCCAGAAACCCCAACTCACACACCTCTGATTCAAACCTGCAATCTGACCCTAGGAATACTCTAACCCTGGAATCCCTAAACTAAGAACACTATCGCTCTTTCCTCAAATGATTGCACCAAACCACTTAAGATTACACAGATTACACAAGAAATCAGAATCAGAATAACAAGAACCTTAACTGTGTACAAAGAATACAAAACAGACTCTTTCGAAGTGAGAAAATCCTCTATTTTGCAAATGCTCTTTTATATTGTTGACTTGTAGCGAATTTTCATCCGTTGGATTGTCTTTGGATCAAAGGTCAGGATTCATCTTAAAGTTGTCCAAAACGACATCGTTCCACTAATATCCAGTACGTTGTCGTTTCAAGCATTCACTTCAACAATCTCCACCTTGAATGCTTGAACTCACCCTAGTGTAGCAAACCCAAACCAGTTCTCTCATAGTTCTGCTCTTCACAGATAACCTCACATGCAGTAAGTTCAAGCAGTGCTTGAACTTTGCAAGAGAGACAATCTTGGTTCCCATGTCCGTTGGATTATCCTCAGTAGATACTTTCCTTAGATCGATTACTCCTTGAGTAACTAAGTCTCTGACAAAATGGAAGCGGACATCTACATGCTTTGTCTGCTCATGATAAACTGGGTTCTTGCTCAAATGAACTGCGCTTTGGCTATCTGAATATATGGTTACCTTTCCCTCTATCAGCTTTGCTTCGGCTAAGAATCCTTGCAGCCATAAGGCTTCCATGAACACATCGGCAATGGCAATATATTCTGCTTCAATCGATGAGAGGGCTACAATAGGCTGAAGCTGAGACTTCCAGCTTATACAATTTCCTCCAAGAATGAAGTAATATGAAGTGGTGGATTTTCTTGTATCTTTGTCACCTGCAAAGTCAAAGTCTACAAAACCAACCAAGTCAAGTGTAGCATGCCTATTACAGAAATCTAATCCAACATTCAAAGAACCATTAATATACCTCAATACCCACTTTAAAGCAACCTAGTGCTCACTGCCTGGATTAGCAATAAATCAGCTCAATAGGGAGATGGCAAATGACAGGTCTGGTCTGGTGCTGATCATTGCATACATCACAGATCCAACAACATTTGCATAGGGGACATATTCCATTTTTATTAATTTAGCTTCAGTTTTAGGGCATTGACCTTTGTTTAACACAAAATGGTTTGCAAGAGTCATAGACACCAGTTTTGAGTCTACCATACCAAACTTAGACACCAGTTTTTCCAGGTATGATTGTTGCCTAATTTTTAGTTCATGTTTGCTCCTGTTTCTAGTAATGTCTATTCCTAGGATTCTTTTTGCATTTCCTAGATCCTTCATGTCAAATTTTGACTTAAGCTTTCCCTTTAGCTCAAGTATTTTTGGCTTGGACTTACTCACCAACAACATATCATCAACATACAGTAAGAGATAAACAAGTAGGTACTTATTCAAATTAAAATAAAAGCAACTATCATATCTAGTCCTAGTGAACCCTATGCTTAGAATGAAAGTGTCAAACCTCTTGTACCACTGCCTAAGGGATTGTTTCAGTCCATATAGTGATTTGTGTAGGATGCATACATGATCAGGGGCTTTATAGTCTACAAAACCTATGGGTTGTCACATGTAAATTTCCTCTTCTAAGTTACCATGCAAGAAGGCAGTGGTTACGTCCATTTGTTCTAACTCAAGGTTGTAATGGGCAACTATGGAGAGCATTAGCCTAATGGTCTTATACTTGACTACCGGGGAAAGACTTAATTGAAGTCTATTCCTTCCTATTGGGTATACCCCTTAGCAACTAACCTAGCTATGGACCTAGGTGGGTCAGTAGCTAAAATACCCTCTTTTATTTTAAACAACCATTTACATTAGATCAGTTTCTGGTCCTTTGGTTTGGGGACCAAGGACCAGGTTTTGTTTACGTTAAGTGATCTCATTTCCTCTTCAATTGTTGCCCTCCACTTTTCCTTTTCCTTGGAATTCATTGCTTCTTCACATGAGTCTGGTTCTATTCTTTGAACCTCTATTCCTACAAGCAAGACAATGTATATTAGTTCAGCATAAGAGAATCTAGTAGGGGGTCTTACCTTTCTTCTGATTCTGTCCCTTGCAAGTTGGTAGTGCTCCAGTTGGGCATGTTATGGCTCTGATGCATCTGCTACAGTTTCTTCCTCTTCAAGTTCTGGACCATCAGGTCTTTGTTGGATTTAACTAGCAATCGTGGTATACAACCATATGTGAAAAGGAGACTTGAAGTAAATGATAGGGTCGAGATTAGGCCGAATAAAAATTTCAATTCCATGTTAGTTGAAGCAGGCGGTCCTGAGAATTTGACTTTCTTGCAAAAAGATTGTAGGAACTATATTGAAAAAGTTAGGAGGATGCGACTTGGTGCCGGAGATGTTTATGCAATCCAAAAATATTTTTTGAAGATGCAAAAAGATAATGCAAATTTCTTTTACATGATGGATTTAGATGATGAGGATCGATTACAGAATGTTATATGGGTAGATGCAAGAAGTATGGCTGCATTTAAGGAATTTGGCGACGTTGTCACATTTGACACTACATACTTGACCAACAAGTATGATATGCCATTTGCGGCGTTTGTTGGTGTTGACCATCATGGGCATTCAACACTCTTAGGTTGTGGGTTAATCTCCCATGAGGACACAGAGACTTTTGTTTGGCTTTTTGAATCTTGGCTTGCATGTATGTGGAATTGTGCTCCAAATGCAATAATCACTGATCAAGACAAGGCGATGCAGAATGCAATCGAGATTGTGTTTCTCGGTACACGACATAGATGGTGTTTGTGGCATATAATGAAGAAATTGCCGGAAAAGTTAAGGGGTTACAGCGAATACGAACGTATTAAGTTTGCTTTGCAAAATGCTATGTATGATTCATTGACACGTGAGGAGTTCAAACAACGTTGGACTGGATTCATTGATAAATACAACCTTCACAACAATGAGTGGTTACTTGGATTGTATAATGAAAGACAACGTTGGGTGCCATCATTTGTAAAAGACACCTTTTGGGCCGGTATGTCCACCACTCAACGGAGTGAAAGTATGCATGCATTCTTTGATGGGTATGTAAATTCTAAAACCACTTTGAAACAGTTTGTAGAATAGTATGAGAATGCACTATGTGATAAAGTAGAAAAAGAAAAGGAGGTTGATTTTAGATCATGGAAATCATGGATTCCTTGCATAACCGGTTATCCGATGGAGAAACAATTTCAGGAGGCATACACGACCACAAAATTCAAAGAGTTTCAGCAAGAGCTTACTGCTAAGTTGCATTGTGAGATATCTTCTTTCCGGGCCACTGAATCTGAAATAGAATATATTGTAAAAGAAGTTGTCATGGTTGGGGAGACATGTCGTAGTGTGCCTTTTGTGGTTTGCTATGATGACCGTGGTTGTGATGTTCTTTGCAACTGTCGATTGTTTGAGTTTAGAGGAATTATTTGTCGACATGCAATAACGGTATTGCTTCATAAAGAGATTTATCATATACCTGAAAAGTTCATTTTAAGAAGGTGGAGGAAAAATGTATATAGATGCCACACGAAGATTAGAGTTAGTTATAATAGCTGGAGCATGACTACTGAAGGAGAACAGTTTGATCAGTTGTCTAATTCATTCTCTGAGGTGGCTGATTTAGCCTAAACCAATATTGATGATAGTAATATGGTGATGCATATGATTACTGACATGAAGAATAAATTATTGTCAAATGAACGTGTTGGCGGGATTGATAGACATGGTGACATGTCATGTCACAGTGGATCAAATTTTGATAGTGTTCGTGCTAATTCCACAGAGGCAAGCAATAAAATTTTAACTCCCCGGGCTGCTCGTTGCAAAGGTCGACCTCCATTCAAAAGGAAGCAATCGAAGCTCGAACAAAATGTACGTAAAGGTAAACAAAAGAAATTTCATGAAAAGTGCCTGTTGCAACATCCCTAAATCGATTGTATGATGGGGGTTCCCAAGAAACCAATCAAGCAAATGAACCTTTTCAAGATGCAACTAACTTCCAAGGATGTGAAGAAGGAGTTCATATATTAAGCCAGGTATGATTCATTAATTTTCTGCCCTTTTCTTTTTGGTATACAATTAATTTCTTAAGTCATTTTTTTTGTACATTTTCCAGAATTATAGTGAAAGGTCAGTCGCTTACAGGCCATATCCAGCAGATTCAAACTTGTGAATGAAGAGTAATGGGTGAAGACCATGGTGAAAAGAATAGACAATTTGAAGATGTTATATCGTAAAGTTGTATTATATAATTTATTTTTGTTCGTTTATAATCAAAGCTAAAGATATTATGCTGTTCTTGGATAATATTTTGTTCTTGTATCATATATTGTGCATAGTTTCTTACCCTTTTATCATGAACAATATATTTTGGTCTCGTGTAATATTTTGTAAATGCAAGGCATCAATAAAAAAGATGCAAGATTTACTATAAGCAAAAAAACACTTTATTAATACAATTGCTGGTATTAGCCATTTCTTGTACAATATTTTTAAATACATGGCCCCACAACATAATATTGGGGAAAGAATATCTAAACCTTGAAGAATTTGAAAACCTAAATTAGAAGCAATAAATTACATCAATGAGTTGCAAAAATATGGTTCTCTTTAAAGAAGTTGAGTCCGGTGAGCTGATTTCTTGATTTTGAGCAATCAATTTATGTGATTTTCTTGATGGTTGCAAGTGGTTGCAGGGGTGGTGGGGGTGTTAGGTTGGTGAAATCTGGGTTGGACAAGGCCAAGAAAGGTGGTTGGGCGCGGGGAGGGCAGGGTGGCTTGGGTACAGTGGGGGGTAGCTGTGGTGGCGGGTGATGGCTGGGAAAAGACTACAGTAAAGGGGGGCAGTGTGTGGTGGTGGGTGATGGCTAGGAAGTGACTACAGTGGACAGAAAAAGTGGGGCAGTGTGTTGTGGGCAATGGCTGCAGGTGGTTGCAGGGGTGCTGGCGGTGTTAGGTTGGTGAAATGTAGGTTAGGCAAGGCCAAGAAATGTGGTTTGGGACGCTGGGAGGAGACGCACATGCGCTGGCAATTGCTTGCGCGCGCAGGCACTGCTTGCTTATTCCTTTGTTTTGGTTTTGTCAAATGGTTGAGCAGGTGGTGAGCAGAGAACATATTCAGGTGGATATGGTGACTGACTGACTGGATGCATGGGGAAGGCCAGAAAACATTACAACCAATCAAACAACACAAACACTCCCAATATAATAAATCTCCCATCAAACAAACTCCAAAATAAATATGCCAATCAAGCTGCCATTCCCACCATCCATTCCTCCCGTAAGCCAAACCACCTTACTAGGACCATCACAAACACTCCCAATTTGTAATCTGCAAAACATAAGCACTCATCAATATGAACCACAACATTTAGTATGAGCACCAGCACTTCGAAACATATTTGAGTTAATGAGAATTCTGAAATTTTAGAACTCTCTCTCTCAACTTCAGCTTTACTTTTTACTCAATAACTAATATTAATGAACTTGCAGACCATTCCAACACTATTTTCAAATAGGTCTCCACATTTAATCTTCAAAAGTACAAGCAAATAGAATAAGGATTCCAAAGTTTAAGCTCCTTCAAGATAAAATGGATATGCCATGAATATTTATAGTTAAAGAACCAACCTAACATTTAGTCTCATCAGGCCGATTGTTGCAAGTCTGGAGGCAAGCAACATTAGCAGCACATGATGGGTTAGAAATGCACTAAGCAAGTTCCAACCTGGAAATGATATTCCATATATTCAAATGACAAGAACTAAGATGCTTAATTTTGGATACAGGATGCCCATATAGCTCCTTGATACTAATGTCACACGACTTCTTATTGACCACTAAATTCCTTTTTTTTTTTTTTTTTTGGTTGTTAAGCTGACAATGGAATAAAACAGAAAGTAGTGCAACAAAATACGCAAGGATTTATGTGGTTTTGTGAACGGATGAGCTATCTCCTCCATGTAGAACTGTCAACAAATGCCTCACTGCAATTAGATATTACAATTACATGTATTTACAAAACCGAAAAAAGTGGATACTTGAAAAGAACTTGATAATTGCCGGTCCAAATTAATAAGCAACCACTGTGAAAAGAACAACACAAAAAGTTTCACTTAAACCCCTAATAGCTCACTGTTAAAAGACAAACCCAGACACAAATAGATGGTTACAGTAATAACCAGGAATATCTTGCACTCAAGCTTATATTGATAGAACCCCATATTAAAGCCTATAATCATTGTTGAAAAGAACCAATTTCATTGCTACAATGATATGTTTCTAGTAGAGGGAGGAAAATATGAATATAATCTCATCACTATTCAATAAAAATACATCAAAGGGGAGATCTTTTAACTGTGGAACCTTGATGTCAAAATGAAAGCTAGGTAAAATAATCCACAGGAAATTCCAAGTAAGAAATGAACATATAGTTGAAGTAGAAGCTCAGCTTTGCTATGAATTGCTGAGAACTTTGGAAGCTCTCAACACCTTTTTTTTTTTTTTTTTTTTTTTTTTATAGAAGCATAGGTACTCAACTCTACTTTATAAAATCTTCAAAAAGAACCCCTTGACGATGAAATCCCCAAGAAAAAGTTTATTCCCAAATTCCAACATATTCACCCTATGAGAATTTTTAATCCATCCATACAATGGAACTGATATTCTCTTAGACATATGATTACAAGAGGGGAACAATTTTCAATCAAAACCTCACAACTAATGCTTTTTCTGCAGTCCCAGGTCAAAGTTCTAGCTGGACAAGGAGATATATTTAATATAAATTTAACTTGCTACTCTTCAGTATCCCCTAAGGTTTGTTTTAAACGTTTACTAAATTACAGAAGAGTGAATTATATCAGTGAAATTCCTTTCAAATCTATTTGACAAGAAATTGAAAAGCAGATTATGCTTGGAGTGCGGATATCATGTTTCTATGGCTTGAAGATCAAGCTGTAAAACACCAATTACTAAATACATAAAGCGGTTTAGCCATTTAGGATGGAGTACTTGCACTCCCACAATAAGCAAGCGCATGTTTTGAGAGCATCAACAACACCAGCTGATGGAATAATCAAAAACATGCACGCCAATACACCAGCTACTTTCATCAACTGTAACCGGCTCCATTCATTCACAGAATTTGACTTTCATCAACTGCAACCGGCTCCATTCATTCACAGAATTTGACAGAGCTTGTACCATAAATTCAAATGCCTCTTTTGCCTACATGAAAATCGAACAAATAATGAAATAGAAAACAAGAAAATGTAGAATGAAAAGGAATAATAAAATAACCTTCATGCTTATTAAGGAACTAAGGAGGAAGAAATCAGAAGTAGATAATATTTAAGAGCTACCTCATGTATTCTTGCATTAGTGCTTGACATTGCATTGGTGGGTGATCTTCGGTGGGGATAATAGGGGTTTTTGTTAGGGGAGGCTGGTGAGGTGAAAGGTGGCGTCGGGGTAGATTTCCGATGTCGAAATCGATCGAAAATTGGTTTAAAAGTTATGAACCCTAGATGAGCGGCAACCGGCAATTGGTGGGTGATCTTCAGGGGGGATGATAGGGGTTTTGGTCAAGGGAGGCCGGTGAAGTGAAAGGTGGTGCTGGAGTTTATTTTCGGTGCCGGAGTGGTGGCTGGCGATTTAGGGGAGAAGGAGATTAGGGCACAAATGGTTTTTTGGGCAAAAAATTCGTAAGCGGGAACTTTTTTTGGAGAATTTTTTTTTTAAAATTATTTGGTGTGGCAAATGACTGATGTGGCAGATGAATGGGCATCACCACGTTAGATGCCACGTCATGTTGTAGGTTGGTTAGTAAAAACCAGTAGTATGCATAGTATTTCTGTTATAAACCAGCCCTCTTTCCATGTTTTTCTTCTCCACCCACTACCCCTCTCTCCACCCTCATCCTCCATTCTCCACTTTTACCATTAAACATCACCTGTCCCTCTAACTAGAGAGCTTCATCACTTCCTTTACTTTTGTTTTCACATTTTCTTTCACAAACCCGCACTTTGCTTTTCTGTTTTTGTTAAACTTTTAGTTCTTCTTTGCTGCGTTTGGAGGTTTTATTTGGGGTTAAATCAAGCTCCTTGGTTTTTTTTGTTTTTTTGTTTTTTTGGATAAGTAAACTTTTATAGAAAGGGGAAAGAATGTACAAAAGGCCTAAAAGTCGGCCAACCTACCTCAGGACAAGCCCTAGGTTAGGAGCAAAGGAATTATACTATCTAAGTCCACCCCTAATCTTCTCTTTTTCCCATTCTGCTTCTCAAAGGAATGGAACCAAGTAGAGATTAAAGAATACAATGAATCCCACCTACCACACGACAAAAAACCCATCACATAAATACAAACCATATAATTACCTCCCATGTGATGTTTTAAAAATAGACATGGGGAGACCCCATTTCTCGGCAAGTCTTCTATTGTAGGTATTCTTTATGATCTTGCTAAGGTCCATAGCCCTCTCCCTCACCACATTCTTGATGGAGTTGTAAAGCGTATGTGCATCCTTGCATTCCCTACAAAAAATCTGGCTATTCCTCTCTCTCCAAATAGAGTAAACGGTGGCTCCCAAACTTTTTTTTTTTTTTTTGTTTTTTTTTTTGTTTTTTGGGTAAGTAAGCTTTTATAGAAAGAGGAAAGAATGTACAAAAGGCTTAAAAGTCAGCCAACCTACCCTAGGACAAGCCTTGGGTTAGGAGTAAAGGAATGATACTATCTAAGTCTACCCCTAATCTTCTTTTTTTCCCATTCCGCTTGTCAAAGGAATGGAACCAAGCAGAGATTAAAGAATACAATGAATCCCACCTACCACAAGACATGCCCTAGGTTAGGTTCAAAAGTATCAGAGCACAAAACCCATATGCGTAAGCATTATATAGAAGAATTCCATAAACATGGACATTAACAAGGTATGGCTCGTTAATGACACAAAGACAAAGCACTAGATCAACACCCCAAATCTTCCAATTGTCAAAGTAGCCTCTTCTAGCACAATCACCCGCCAGGATGTCATATAACCAAATCCCCTTACACGACAGAAAAGCCATCACATAAATACAAAACATATAATTACCTCTCGTGGGATGTTTTAAAAATAGACATGGGGAGACCCCATTTATCAGCAAGTCTTCTGTTGTAGGTATTCTTAATGATCTTGCTACGGTCCATAGCCCTCTCCCTCACCACATTCTTGATGGAGTTGTACAGAGTATGGGCATCCTTGCATTCCTTACCAAAAATCCGGCTATTCCTTTCTCTCCAAATAGAGTAAACAGTGGCTCCCAAACTTAGCTTCCCTATAGAGTGCTTTAGCTTTTTCTTCCTCTACCTACTAGCTATGTGCTCAATATAATCGTTCCAAGGCCGCGTGACATACCCAAGAGAAGAGAGCTCAAGGATTCGGTTCCAAATCCTTTGGGTGAAAGGACAAGCAAAAAAGAGATGATCGATCGTTTCTTGCCCATGATTACAAAAACAACACGCATGGCTAGAGGCTATTCCATACCTCATCAGTTTGTCCCTGGTCTGAAGCCGATCCTTACATGTCATCCATGTGATCATGGAGTGTCGTGGAATGGTTGTTGGGAACCATACAAGGTGATGCCACTCCACTTGGCGTTGGTGCACACGAGTAACCTCCCAAGCCGATTTTATAGAGAACTTACCGGATGCATTAGGCTTCCAAACAACCATGTCCTCGCCCTCCTTTGGATCAAAGTCGATAGAATCCTTCATGTCCACCAAAGCCCAAGAATTAGCCATTGGCCATCGCCACCTTGTCCCATCCCAAATCTCACACACCTTAGCAAGATGTTGTAGCCCCGAATCATACACAATGCGGCTGCCATATCTATCCTTGAGAGGGCCTCTTTGGGTGTTAATTATCATGCCAAACATAAGTTACTTGACCATTTCCGATGACGACTTTGATGTGCTCTCTAGCTTCCATTCTAAGCTTCAAAATGCTCCTCCAAGCCCAAGAAGCATCCTAAGGTATAGGAATCTCCCAAAAGCTCTTCCTTACCAAGTAGGTTGCTTTGATCCACTCAACCCATCCGAAGCCGCTCTTGTGCAAATCACATGATGAACAATCCAACAAGAAATCATGATGAAAAATCACAATGGTCTAGGGTTTACATATTCTCAGAAAATCCCTCTAACATATATGAAAGAACTTTAAAATGAAAGAAAGGAGGAGAAAATCGATATAATTTATCGTTATGAGATGGGGGAGGAAATCTATATGGGTCTTTTATATATCTTTTAGCGTTATGACTTGGCTTGACTTAAGTTCTAAGCGAAGTCAAGTCCACTAACCTATAGGAAATTTTAATATTACATCATAATTACAAAAAATAAAATAAAACAATTAATTTTCACATGTGCTCATCAAAAAGAAAAAAAACAAATGCAATCCTTATTTATAAAATGATTAAGTAAATTACATTTCTAACCCTGATTGGAAAATAAAATAAATCATCAATTTACTCCTATGATACACATAATTACTAAATACAATTATTTGGAAGGAAATCAACCCCAGTTATATTGCACATTGCAAAACTTTATCTCAGAATCAAATTAATTCTAGCTAATTTAAATTTCTAACTGCTAACATTGTAAAATAAAGTAAATTTAAGTTGAATGGATGACAAAATAATTATAATCGAATCTAAGTTGAATGGATGACAAAATAATTATAATCAAAACCATTCTGCTCAATTAAATTTCAAACTATAATATACAAAACGTAACAATTTAACTTCACACCTTAATTTAGCAATGCCCCTAAATCAGTCAATCATAACACGAGAAAGAAAACCAAACCTCAATTTCCTCTTCATTCTTTTGATTATTTAGTTCCTGTAAATTTTCAACAATAAAACCAAAAAAACGCTAAAATCACTATGATAAATGGAAAAATTTTCCTAAAAAAATAAAATTACAAAGTCTTTATAACTATAAATGCTCACTTACCAAAGCACATGCGGAAAAAGGAGCATCTCCAATTATAATATATATTTTAATTCAGCAAACAAAATTTGATCCTCGCTGCAGCTAGGGGTAGGTAATGTTGCACACATTAATAAGAACAGAAACACATCACAAGGGCAAACTCTTGTAAATGAGATGGTGCCAAATAAACTGTTTGGACGTCATATGACGTATTACATTGCAATCAAGCGACTGCAATCAAGCGACTTCAGGAATACTTCTGCACAGCAGCCTCATCCCATTTCTACAGCAAAATAAAGCAGTATTGTTATTAAAATTCAAGGTTTTTTTCTTTTTTTTTTTTTTTTTTTTTTTTTTTTTTTTTGTAAGAAAAGTGATTCTAATTTATTAATAACATTAGTAAACTAAAAACAAGTCCAATTACTAATTTTCGATTTAGGGTTTAATGGGTTTTTTTCCTGGTTTTCAAATCTAACCGCAAAGCCCAAATATTAAGCTAATAACAAGTCCAATTACTATGGACTACCATGAAGGGGCACTGCCCCGAATGCATCTGCGCAGGGATCAATCCATGCAAAGTATCTTTCTTGTGTTACACAGTTTTGAAGCTCTGCACTCCCACTTGACAGAAATAGAAACTGAACATGACATATTTGCCAAAACACCAGAAGCATGGAAGAATCATAATTATTATCAGCTTACAACTACATGAACAACTACTCGAGACTATATGCGAAGGATACAAACTGAAAATAACAGTATACTTCCACAAAAAACTGCATGAATCCAACATATGTGATTACTACCATTAGAAAATTTGCAATTTTTGCAATCAGGCAACCATTTGAGCCTATTTACAAATAGGGTAATTTTGTTCATGTTCCCATTTCCCTGTTTGCCTGCAATGATGGTGTGATGTAACTCAATGTCTCATGTTAATAACGAATCACAATAAATTGCAAAGCTTTGCATTGCAGCTGATACATATTGACAAAATAGTGAAGTAAACGTTAACCATATCATTTGGACAAATGAAGAACGACATTATATATCATGATAACAAATAAGCCTCCAATAAATAGGAAAAGCTACAGGGTAGAAAAATGCCTAGTAATCTACAGAAAATAACTATCCACTTCCAAGTACCCAACCAACATGAGTTACTAAAACTTCGGAATTTTCTACAAACCAGGAGCCAGAAGGCTATGTGGGCTAACTTCTGTGAGTGCAACAAAGAGAAGTAGCTCTTTGTGTTTATAAACGGCCTAGTTTTCACAAGAAGAGAAATCATTTGCTGCTTGTTGTCCCAAGAATTGTATCACAAAATGACCATGCAAGTAAGAAACGAAGAAACTCTGAGAAAACATACAAAGAACTGTCTTCAAAACAAGAATTCATATATAAAATCATCAAAAACGCTAAAAGAAACCCACCAAAACTTGAACTAACAATTCAAACACGTTAATTAGCTAATTATTACAGCAAATATAATCCAAACAACAAAAGAGTCAACTCAACACAAACAAAACATCATAACAATTAATTTTTCAGTCAACATAAGACCCTAAATTACAAGAACAAGAAAAAAGATTAAATTAAAAACAAAAATAAACCCACAAGGATCGGACTGCTGGTAAAACTTCTCAACATCTGCAAGAAAATTAAAATTAAAAAAGAACCCATTTCACAAAGACAAAAACAAACCCATAAATTATATAAACAAACAAAGATTAGACCAGTAGTTAAAGCCTTGATCAAGCCACCTCGTCTGCCCTTGAAGTCGCCGAAGACTTCCTGTACAATTTTAGGTATTGGGTGCGATGTTCCCTCCATAAACACTTGTATAAAAAAAATGGGTTTGCGGGTATTGAAGAGAACAAGAAGAAGAAGAAGAAGAGTCAAATGAAAAGAAAGGGTCTCTTAATTTGGGAATTAGGATTTCTGTTTGAATTGACAAAATTGGCTTAAAAAAACACAATTTTGAAAGGAACCCGGAAGAGAAAAGATGGTAAAGAGAAAGTATGACACAATTTTGGGTTGAGATTTGTTTGTGTAAAACTAAAAGGAGACAGATTGACAGAAAGAGAAAGAAATGTGCACCACTGCTTGTAAAACTTCTCGAACATCAGCAAGAAAATTAAAATTAAAAAAGAACCCATAAATTATATAAACAAGCAAAGATTAAACCAGTAGTTAAGGCCTTGATCAAGCCAGTTCGTCTGCCCTTGAAGTCGCCGAAGACTTCCTCTACAGTTCTGGGTATTGGGCGCGGTATTCCCTCCATAAACACTTGAATAACAAAAATGGGTTTGCGGGTATTGAAGAGAACAACAACAAGAAGAAGAGTCAAATGAAAAGAATATTAAAGGAAAGGGTCCAATTTCGGTTTTTGTTTGGGGGTTTGAATTGACAAAATCGGGTTAAAAACACACAATTTTGAAAAGAACCCGAAGAGAACAATTTGTTTGGGACTGGGCCCATTTAGGACCAGTCGCTCATGGGCTTGAGATCGATCTCAAGCCCATGAGTAATTTTAGGACCCGGACAGGTCTTAGGATCGTCCTATGGGCTTCCAAAAATTTTATTTTCCCCCTATCTTTTTTTTTATATATTTTAAGAGCGAAATGAAATTCTGTAAGGGGATTTATATAATTTTCGGGGGTAGACTCGTAAGTTTTTAAAAGATTAATTAATTTTAAAAAATAATAAATTAATTAATGGTTAATTTTAACATAAATGTAATATTTACACATTCACGCTTCACAAATAAACAATTAAATAACTTTTATTAAATTATTTATCTTCATTGTCAACAATATTTAAATCATTAAAATTTGTGTTCCTAAAAAGTTCGAGTAATTCGGGATCTTCAGAGTGTTGTTGTAGTCTTTTCTCTGCATGAGTCCAATCTTATAAACACGTTATCACTTCAATCATCTCATTAGTTAAAGAGCATCTTCTGTCTTTAACAATCCGGCCACTCGTTGAAAATGCTGACTCGGATGCAATTGTAGAAACCAGCACAGATAAAATGTCACATGTCATTTGAGCTACAATGTGAAATCGACTTTGATGTTGATTCCACCATTGAAGCACATCCATCTCACGTTTCTCCTTCTTCGTCATGTAGGACATGTCCATTTATAGGTAGTGATTCAGCTCATTTGGTCCATGTATGTACGAGCTGGAGCTACTACTTTTGCCATGTTCCATACGCTTGATCCTTGATGGAGGTCTTCATCAGGGTCCTAGACGTTCCACTTCCACTTTCATTGTACCTATTCTGATATAAAGAAAAAAGGTTTTCCAATTTTTGCTTAAAGTTAGTCAAATTAGACATATAATCATATCCTAAATGCTGGCCTATCTCAGTAATTATACATTTAACTACGTGTAATTTAAACCTAGAATCTACAACAAGACCTAATCTATATAAGAATGGAATATCTAACCAATATTTCTTGTATTTTTCTTCCATCTTTAAAACAATTTCCATTAAAACGTCATTATATCTATATTTAGCAAAAGTTTTAGAAATTTGAAGTAAAATATCTAACGATAAATTAGTAGTCGGATAATAAATACCACTTAATGTATTAGTGGAATCATAAAAAAATTTAAGAAATGAATAAAAAGGTTCACAAACCGCCCAATCATCATAGCTGACAACTTCCTCTGAATGGTTCTTCCGGTTCATGAAATCTGTAATTTGTCTTGCGGTTGGCAAAGCTTTTTCCAACATCAAGTAGGTGGAGTTTCAACGAATAGGCATGTCTGTAAATAATTTCAAAGGTCAAACCAATGGGTCCTCTTGCCTATAATATTTGACGTACTCTTGTCATCTTTTGTTGCTACCATTGACGATAAATCTAATAGCCGCTTACACCCTCTCCATCTTCGAATGTATAACATCTAAACTTGCTTTAACAATCAAATTGATGATGTGGCAAGCACATCTCTGGTGAAAAAATTTGTTTTCACCATGCAGATCCAATCTCTTTTCAAATAAAGAGATTGTCGCGATGTTAGTAACTGCATTATCAAGTGTTAGCGCTACAACTCTATCAGTTTATATTATTCCTACAAAACTTCAAGAATTGTAAAATAAATGGTGTTAGCACTATGTTTTTCATATAATGGTTTAAAACCCATCAATTTTTGTTGTAAACGCCAACTATGTTCTAAGAAATGTATTGTGACAGTTAAAAAATATGTTTTTGATCTACAAACTCATATGTATGATGTAAGTGCAATAGATATATTCCTAAAAATTTTAAATTCGTTTTTAAGTTTATTATTTATTTTGTTATAAAGTTTTTTAGTATATTGTAATATCCCACTTGAGGTACGTATTTAAGATTTGTTGTATTAGTTAAAAGTTTATTGTTTCAACTTTAATTGAGTTTGTATGTTGAGTTGGTTGAATTGTTGCCTTGAAAATTGGTTGAGTTTTGGTGAAGTTGGAAATCCAATCTTCGCCGGGGCGAAGAATAAGCTTCGCCGCGGCGAGGAGGAGGGGTTGCACTACGGGTAGGTTCTGCCCTGTTTCGCCGAGGCGACGAAAAATGCTTCGCCGCGGGGACGAGCCTAAGACAAAGTTTCTTGAGTTTTCTAGAGAATTCTTCTTTTGGGGCACAATGACCATTCTACCCCTAATTAGTAGGAAAAGTGGGGAGTAAAATGAAAGGAAATTTAGTAGAGATTGTGTTTGGATGGGGGTGTATTTGTAAAGAATCAAAGGATATAGATGGAATTTCCAAGGAAGGGCAAGGGCAAAATGGGAAATGATGCTTATAATATGAACTAAAAAGGGTTAAGTGTAGAGAAACCCTTTATTTCTTCATTCCACCGCCTCTTCCATTTGCCCATTTTCTCTCAATTTCTCCATCCAATCTTCCAAGATTTCTAAGGGATTTAAGAGGGGTTTTGAGTAGAGATTTCATCTAAAGCATCCTAAGGTAAGGATTCATGCTTTAGATGTGAGTTTTCTTATAATTATAGTGAAGTCTTATTGTGTTGTTGCTGTCCTTGTGGTTGTTTTGAGTTGTAGAGAAGAGACAAGACCACAAAGGGAAGGAAAAGTGCTAAAGAAGTCATCTTTGCACAAGGTAAGTAAATCCAACCAACTTGAGTTTTAAACAAGCTTTTTGTGTAGAGATGTATGCATGATCAGTATGTAGTATGATTAATGAGAAAATTGAATTGAGATGAGTAGCTATTTTTGTAGTTGTTGGATAGATTCCATGTATGAGAAGTGTTTTAATGTGTATTGAGAATGGAATTTGAGATGAAGTTTGAGAGATGTTGTGTGAAGCTTTTTGGGAGTGCTTTTCTTGACAGGGTTTATGAGTAATTGAGGGATTTTTTCCCCATTTTTGATGGCTAGAGAATGAAGGATAGTAGTAATTTTAGTAGAGTGTTTATATGCACATGAATTGTTTGAGGAAATGCCTAAGTGAAATCTGCACTGTCACTGCAGTAGCTTTCTAAGTGATTTTTGGGTATCTTAAGGTTTGAACTGGGCTGAGATCAAAACACAGAAGTTGTAGCCCTGTTTCTAAGATTTGAAACGAGACCAGAACCGTAGCAATCAGAGGTGTATAACGAAAGTTATGGTCTTTTTAGTGTGACCTGTGCAGAATAACGGTTTTGTGGAAATCTTGTAGTTGGCATTTCATTAGTGCATTAGTGAGCATGAGCTAGTTCTACACAATTGTTTATGCACTTAAGCAGTAAGATGTAGCTTGAGATATAGTAGAGAATGTGAATATAAGCTACTTTAAGAGTTAAGAGAAAGAGAATAGAGTAAGTTGTGCGATGGGGAACCTGTGAGTAATGGGTAGAGTATTCCCGCATGTACGCCGCATTAAGAGAGCGGCATGAGTATCAGATAGAGAAGTGGTGTAGCCCGTGAGAGTGCATGCGAATGAGGGCTATACCCGAGTACCCGAGAGAGAGAGATTATAGACTCACATGGCCAAGGGTTCCGAATCCATGCATAACCAAGTCCGATCGGCTAGAATGAGTAGAGGTAGAGTGGGAGCGAGTCCTGGCCGTGCCCCCGGTAAGACGGGGTCGTGACTTACTAAAGAGAGGTAATAGAAAAGAGTTCTAAGAGAAAAAGAGAGAAGTACCCAAAGAGAAATTGAATGAGGAATTGTAAGGAAAGAATTAGAGAGAGAGTTACGGGGATAGCATGAGTAGAGGATTTACTTACTGAGCATTATTTTAGTGCTCACCCCGTTGTTTTCCTATGTTTTGTAGGACCTAGGTGAGGACACTATCGGATGGATGTCGGCGTTCGAGAAGGAGTGGTTACACTGTCCCTTATGTTTTTGATGACTTTTGTATACGTTATACATTTTGTGTAAAAATGTGTATGTTTGTAAAGAGTATGTATATATGTTTAATAAAAGAAAAATTTGGGCCCAATTTCTTTATGTTATTTTATATGTATTTCATTATAAGTTTTTGAGGAGTAGTGGCTATTACATATATCTCTTCTACTTGTACTTCTACTAACAAGGGTATATGCTGGATAAAATGCAATTTTAATCATATGAATAAAATAAGGATGTTCAGATAAACAAATGGGAGAGTTCGTAGCAACTATGAATCTTGCTATTTACTCTCGTGCAACATGTGCATTGTATTGCCATGTTGAGAGAGTTGAGGATTGTAGATTAAAATTAAGTTGAGTTTGAATTTGCCTACCTAATTCGATTAAAGATGTACTGGACAACTGCATTATTTAGGAGTGCTTCTTCTCCAAGTATCATTGCATCGTCGAAGTCCCATTCTCAATGTCAATAATGGTTCCACAAAAATTACATATCCCACGCGATTATTCCCCCTCCCTATTTGTCTTTGGCCATTTTGATTTGGTGAAGTGTCTCTACACATCAGACATGACCCTTTTTTATGGTCCGGGGGGGTTGGGCCACGCCCGTGCCCGTTGAGTCGCAACTCGTTTGTGTTTGGTTGCACCTCGTCCCGATCGAATGTGGTTTTTGAATTGTAGTTGCTGCCTCTGGAGGAAAAGGTGAAAATTAATCGAACTTTTCCATTTCTTCGGTGGATGGAACGTAAAACTCATTTGAGGATAATCCTCCGAATGCATCATTTTGGGAATCTATTATGAATTTATGATAAGATAATAAATAATTAAAATGAAAAAAAAAATATGAATAAGAAATGATATTGAAAAATAGAAAGAATTGAATAATATAAATTAATTAATTATAAATATAAATATAAATTGAATGAGAATTTGATTAGAGATTTGGAGTAGAGAGTAGAGAGATTGAGTGGCATGGAA